AAGAATGAAAAGAAGAAGAAGAATGAAGAAAGAAGAATGAAAAGAAGAAAAAAAAACTTCTGAAAGAAGAAGAATGAAAAGAAAGTTCTCTCTGAAAAAGATAGAATGCAGAAGAATGGAAAGAAAGGGAATGAAAAGAAGAAGAAGAAGAAGAAGTAAAAAGAAAAAGAAGAAGAATGAAAAGAAAAGAAAAAAGAAAGAAAAAAGAAGAAAAGAAGAAATGAAAAGAAGAAGCAAAACAAATGAAAAAAGAAGAAGAAGAAAAACTTGCCTTTTTGCAAAGATGAAGATTGAAAAAAAAGAAGAGAAGAATTTTGAAAAAAAGAAAAGAAAAATGAAGAAGTAGAATGAAAAGAAGAAGAAGAGAAAAGAGGAGTAAACGAAAAAAAGAAGAATGAAAGGAAGAAAGAATGAAAAGAAAGAAGAATGAAAAGAAGAAAAAAGAAGAAAGAATGAAAAGAAGAAAAATGAAAAGAAGAAAAGGAAAAGAAGAAGGAAAAAATGAAAAGAAGAAGAAGAAAAAAGAAGAAAAAAGAAGTAAAAGAAGAAGAAGAATGAAAAGAAGAAGAAGAAGAATTAAAAGAAAATGAAAGAAGAAGAAGAAGAAGAAGAAGAATGAAAAAAGAAGAAAAGAATGAAAAGAAAAAGAATTAAAAGTACAAGCAAAAAAAGTGTATCTGCAGAGAGCTCTCCGCTATTTCTGGACAGTTCTCTAACAGTTCCTTTCACATTTACAGCGGTTGGAAAAAATTGTAATCGATTTATTTCCGAATAAAAAATACATCTGTATCCTAAATGGAAACAAATAGATACAATGTAAGAAAGAAAAACCGCTGTAAATGAACTGTCAGAAACTGTCAGAAATAGCGGAGCTCTCTGCAGTGACACTTTTGCCGGCTGATCGGGAAAAAATTCGATTCGTGCACCGAAGTTAAAAAATGCAACAAAATTCGGATTCGATGCGAATCAAAGTAGTTTTTCCTGAATATTCGAAACGAATTCCACTTCGCCAGGTTCGATCGCTCATCACCTCTAACCAACAGCAACGCACTTTCCAACAAAACCCTGTGTTGTCCATCCCTGAGATAGGCATGGGGGCTACTTACTGTATTGTACCTATGATTCCCACATTTGATTACTGCTACTAAACATTTTGATACTAGAGATACGTGTAATACAAAATATTTGCCGTGTCTAGGTTTCAATGTTTTTGCAATTACCTCTGTATGTTCATACTAACCTATACAAATTCTGTATTCAAAAAAAAAATGCTTGAACAAGGAAAAGAAGTCCCTGGGTTACATTTGGTGTTGCAATTCATCCCAAATGTGTTCCGTAGGGCTGAAGTCTGTGTTCTGAAAAAGGCCACTTGAGTACCTACAGACCAAACTCATAAAACCGTGTTTTTATGTAGCTTGTTTTGTACACAGGTCCACAGTCATGCTGGAACAGAAAAATATCCTTCTCCAAACTGTTTTCCAACTATTGGAAGTACAAAATTTCTCTAAAATATCTTTTTATGACTTGCAATGTTCAATAACTAACATAAAACAAAAAGGTCTGATCTCAAAAACCATGGAGCACCAGCCACTTTCTTTTGGGCATATAGTAGATTGTATGACTGAATTTAGAGTTTTTAGAAATAATTAACCTTAAAAACCGACCAACAGCTGTAAACCAGTACAAAGTACCAAAACATTTTTACACACCAACTTTGGAAAAAGTTGCCTTTCAACTCAACGTTTCTAACCAAACCGAACCTAAAACAAATACACGTTACATATGTTCTAAGTAATTGCACATTTTGCTTTACCATAATGTTTAATTTTGCTTAACTACATATTTCAAAGAAATTTTCACCAGCATTTAAGCCTTCATCTGAATCAATAAATACTGAACTTTTCAAGCCATGACATTTCTTAGGTGGAAAGGATGGTCTATTACTCCTGATTTTTGCAGTTTAAAAATGATTATAGACAAGTACAAATGTCAGTGTCAGGGAACCGTTACTTGTGCAGCTAATGTTCATGTGCCAGTACATACGAGGTGGTATCAGAAAGTTTTGAGACTAGTTTTGTAACATGCCAAGAGATGGTAGCAGAAGACTGCACACACAGTCAACAGGGAGCACCGACCTTCATAAGTCAGTGTGTCAAAAAGACATCATCCTGTGTAGCCATCCATTGGGAGCTGAGCAACTGGTGCTATTCTGACCACGTGCATTACCACATTTGCTTTTTAATCATACAATGTACCCTGTCACCGAGTAATCCTCACATGTGAAATTCTCACCAGAAACAACATGATCTCAATCTGCATCCACCCTACTCACCAGATTTGACTCATGTGGACTTTGCCTTCTTTGCAAAGATGAAGGTCCAACTCAAAGGTTGACATACTACCACCGCAGCAAAGCTGCATCATCACTGGTCTAATAACCATAGACCTTTCACATGATTATTATTATTAAAATACAGGATTTATATAATGTGCAGCGCTTTACAGAATGAAGGTAGATATGACAGTTACAATACAATTTGGTACAAGAAGAAACAGAGGGTCCTGCTCATTAGAGCTTACAATCTAGGAGGAAGGGTTGAGTGATACAAAAAGTTATAGTTGTGGGGGATGAGCTGATGGAGGAAATAAAAGGCGGTTTACTAGTTAGAAGCAGGATAGGCTTCTTTAAAGAGAAGGGTTTTCAGGGATCCTCTAAAGGTGGATAGATTAGGAGATAGCCGGAAACATTTGGGTAGGGAGTTCCATAGGATGGGAGAAGCTCGGGAGAAGTCCTGGAGGTAAGCATGGTAAAAGGTGACACGGGAACTAGAGAGCAAAAGGTCTTGGGAGGATCAAAGAGAGTGGTTTGGTTGATATTTTGAGACCAGGTTGGTGATGTAGCTGGGGGAAAAGTTGTGGATGGCTTTGTAAGTAGTTGTTAGCATTTTTAATTTTATTTGTTGGATGTGTTGAAGCCAGTTGAGGGATTGGCAGAGAGGGGTGGAGGACACTGAGTGGAGGCCAGTGGAGGGATTGGCAGAGAGGGGTGGCAGACACTGAATGGTTGGTAAGGTGGATGAGCCTGGCAGCAGCATTCATGATGGGCTGGAGGGGGGATAGCTTACGCAAAGGTAAACCAATGAGGAGGGAGTTGCAGTAGTCAAAGCGGGAAATAACCAGGGAGTGAATTAGGAGCTTTGTGGTATCATTGGTTAAATGTTACGGAGGTTGAGGCAGCATGATTTCAACAGGGCTGTGGACCTGAAAGGATAATTCAGAAGTATTCTGTGGCCATGGGAGCTCCCCTGTGTTTTAAATGGTACACATGAATCATAACATATCAACTTTTAAGTACTTTAAATTACTTCATTAAAAGTTGATATGTTATGATCACACAAAAAAGTGATCCAGTTCATACTACACTATCTGTGAGCTATCAATTTGTGAGCAACTCTTTCACATGATCTCCCATTGCTGAGTCCATCTGAAATCAACACACCCACAGGAGATACACAGTGGGTAGGTGATGTATGGACCAAGTGGAAGGTGAAATATGAGTCGGCTCATAATGGGCAATGCAGCAAATGTCTTTTTTTCCCCCTTAATACTGAAACTATCCATGACTCCCTGTAGCTGTTACAGCCAAAGCGGAAAGATGTAGTGGTCCCTAAAGGGGATAAGGCACTTTTCCTAAGACCTTTTAAGCTGCATTACCTTACATAGCCCTGATAGTCATCCAAACCCATACACTCATTACACCTAAGAGTGATTCATGTGTACTATTTAAAAACACAAGGCAGCTCCCATGACCACAGAATACTGCATACATCACATGAAAGGTCTGTGGTCTGTGTATGTCTGTGATCTATTTTGACTTTTTATGGATGTAGATATTCAAGCTGTTGTGTGACAAAAACTTTTGCCAGTTGTTTGCACTTATAAATTTTATCTTTTGTATATTAATATAATTTAACTTTTTACTGAATGCATTATTTTAGATTTCTTGCCACTTTAGTTGCCTAAAGTAACCACTATGCCAAGTTGTGCATTGACAGATCGGCAAATTCAAGTGCACAAGTGCACATCGAAGGGCACTGGCATACACCTGCACTTTGGAGCACACCTGCGTAAGTCCAGTCCCTGGAATGGCATCAAGCTGTCTATTTAAAGAAGGTCCTGACATGTGCTGACTGCTGAATGTTATTTAGCCATTTGTGATCCTTGTTCCTGTGCTTCCTGGTTACCCTATTGCCGAACTTCTTGTTACCAACTCGGTCTATTCCGGGATTTCCATCTGACTCTCTCCTGATTGTGACCCTGGCTTGCTGGTTAGCCTCACTGCTGCTTGATCTGTGCTTGACCTGACTTGTCTCCAGACTCTGCTTCTTCTACTTCTGCCAAACTGTGTTTGATCCGGGCCTGGCTATTAATGTCTGACCATGTATGACCTTGGCTCCAGCTTTCAGACTGGTGATTGAGAGGTGCTCCCTTATCTGCACCAACCACCATCCCAGAAGACCATCTCTTTTGATCAAGGGAAGTCCTTTCAACACGTTGGCCTCCACCAAGGTATGTAACACTTAGTCTCTACTTAAATGCATGTTCAGTCAATCAACACTAACATTTTCAAGGAATAACATTTGTTAAGTGGAAATGTTGGTCTATTACTCCTAAAAATTTGACAAAAATATGTAAACCTAAAATAAATTAGTTAAAATGTTACGTTTTACTGAAATGCATGTCCAAAAAGTTCTGAATGAATTTGCCGACAACTTTTTTCAATTCTTGATTCCTCAGACTGTATATAAGTGGATTTATCATCGGAGTGACTACAGTGTACAGTAATGATATGAGTTTAGTAATATCCCTTGTCTGTCCTCTATTAGGTATCAAATATACACAAACCAGGGTACCATAATAGATGCAGACCACAGTCAGGTGGGAGCTGCATGTTGAGAAAACCTTCTGTCTTCCAGTAATAGATGGGATTTTAAAAATAGTAGATATAATATAAGCATATGATACAATAATAATAAAGAATGGTATGACAACAAATATAATCCCCAAAATTGTCCCTTCAAATTGAGCAGCAGTGGTGTCTGAGCAGGACAGTTGGAGGATTGGATAAAAGTCACAGAAAAAGTGATCAATAATATTGGGACCACAAAATTGTAATGTTGATATGGTTACATTGTAAACCAAAGCTATACACACACTTAGGATCCAGCATAGGATAACCAGTATCCAACAAACCTGGTAATTCATTTTCAAAGCATAATGTAATGGTTTACAGATGGCCAAATATCTGTCCCAACTCATCACTGTCAGAAGAAGACATTCTGAAGATTCTGTGATGACAAAGAAATAAAGTTGAGTGAGGCAACCAGAAAAGGACATGATAGTCTTTTTCATCAACACAGTGCTGATAATGTTAGGAAGAATATCAGTCACCAGCAAGATATCTAATAAAGAGAGCTGGGAGAGGAAGAAGTACATGGGGGAATGAAGGGTTCTGCTGTAGGACACCAGTGTGATGATCAGGAGGTTTCCACACATTGTTACACAATAAAGCAAAAGGAAAAGAAAAAACACTAAAAATGTCATACTTTGAGGAATATGAAATCCTAAGAGGTGAATCTTTGTAATTCTGGTCACATTCCTTTTATCCATTTGCTGAAGGCAGATTACAAACTGGTGAACCTGACTTGTCTAGGTATTGAGGAAGGAAGGAATTTTGTGGGAGTGAGTGCGAGTCAAAAACAGATTCTGATTGGTCAGTATGAGTTACATTCCATTGATTCACAGACTAAGACACATTTTGGTGCCTCACATTTCAGACCTGTTCCTGGGTATATAAGACCAGCTAATTCCAAAAATGGCACCATTTTCCCCTATCTGCTCTAGTTTTTGAGATACAGCATAAATGCCCAATGCCACTCTCCACCCACAAATCAGGATATTTTAATGCAGTGTTTCATTTAATCCCCTTGTAGCCTGAAAGAAACACATAAAAAGGTAGCCACAACCTCTACGGTGTTCAAATATTGAAATGATTTGAGTGGCAATATTCACACATCTCCTATATGATCATAACTGTAACATAGTTAATAACTTCTACTTTAGAATCCTGTGTTTCCAACGTTAAAATTACAGTTGGAGCTACGGAAACTCGCTCACCATATCTAATGTACAAAAACACAAACTGCGGTAGGTAACAGAAGCATAAATTGAGCAGCAAGATCTTTTCAGAAACTTACTAAAAAATTATATAAATTTGACCACATCTAATAAAGTAGAGCTGATGTAGTCTAGTCAATGTGATTTTCTGAATCAGTGCCTCAAATAACCCCAAGAACAGGTCTTAAAAGCACTTTGGTTTTTTTTTTTGCTGGTCAGTGAATTATCATTGAACATTGAACAGATTCAAAACAAGTTGAATCATGTTGGCTAGAATTAGAAATTCAACTCTATCTAATTCAGTTTACTGTGGGGGTAAAAAGAATTAAAAGCATTATCAAAAGCCAGGCAAAAATATTTGCTATAGAAAACTGAAAAAGTATTGATAACGTGGTATATGTAGTGCTCCAAATGTTTTGCATTTCAAGTATATTTATCAGCATTTCCCAGGTAGTGTTTTTTTTTTCTTCTCTTCTTGCATACAGTTTTATAAAATATGAACTTTTTTGTGCTGGGAAAAACTTGAGAGAGTAATAATGTAATAATCAAGAAAGCTCAGATCAGCAGAAGATGCTGTTCATGGAACAAAGATTATTTTATTCTCATACAGAGGAACTCTTCTTTTATAGATAACTAGAATTAATTGTGTGGAATCATTGGGGATGTGTAGTGATTGTTGATATTTCCATGTGATTCATTATTTTGTTTTACAGAAGAGAATTATTTCTTAATGACTTTTATTTTAGAAAACACACTTTGCTTATTATCAATAAGTCATCAGTAGGCTTTAAAATTAATGTATACTGAGTTAAATAATGCTCATTTATACATATTTATTCAAAATTCACTAAACGAATACATTTCTGTTGCTTTGATTAGACATCTTTACAGAATATCTTGATAAATGACCTTATCATTGGATGAGTTTGTCCACACTAGTAGACAAAAGCCCAGAAAGTCAAACTAATGGCTTGTATGTGGTAGCTGGTTAAAATGGTTCTAAAGGCTGAAGGTTTTTTTACCTTCATGCATTGAATGCATGAAGACAAAAAAAGTTTTGCAAGAACCGCTAAGCAACTTATTCACTCCCTTGTTATATCTCGCCTTGACTATTGTAACTCCCTCCTCATTGGCCTACTGAATCGCAGGCTATCCCCTCTTCTGTCTATCATGAATTCTGCTGCCAGACTCATCCACCTTACTAACAGTTCTGTATCTGCCACCCCTCTCTGCCAATCCCTCCACTGGCCTCCACTCAGTGTCCTCCACCCCTCTCTGCCAATCCCTCCACTGGCCTCCACTCAGTGTCCTCCACCCCTCTCTGCCAATCCCTCCACTGGCCTCCACTCAGTGTCCTCCACCCCTCTCTGCCAATCCCTCCACTGGCCTCCACTCAGTGTCCTCCATCCCTCTCTGCCAATCCCTCCACTGGCCTCCACTCAGTGTCCTCCACCCCTCTCTGCCAATCCCTCCACTGGCCTCCACTCAGTGTCCTCCACCCCTCTCTGCCAATCCCTCCACTGGCCTCCACTCAGTGTCCTCCATCCCTCTCTGCCAATTCCTCCACTGACCTCCCATTGCCCAACGGATAAAATTCAAAACACTAACAATAACATATAAAGCCATTTATAACTCTGCCCCAAATTACATCACCGATCTTGTCTCCAAATATCACCCAAACCATCCTCTCCGCTCCTCCCACGACCTCCTGCTCTCTAGCTCCCTTGTCTCCTCCTCCCAGGCTCGTCTCCAGGACTTTTCCAGAGCTTCCCCCATCCTCTGGAACTCTCTACCCTAATTTATCAGACTATCGCCTACTCTGCTCACTTTTAGGCGATCTCTTCAGGGAATCCTATCCTGCCCTCAGCTAATAATGGAATCTTCTACTCTTCCAACCAGTCCATCCCCCACAGTTACTAACTTTTGTACCACTAGCCCCTCCCTCCTAGATTGTAAGCTCTGAGGAGCTCCTATCCCTCTTGTATTGAACTGTATTGTCTCCCATTATATTGTAAAGCGCTGAGCAAACTGTTGGCGCTATATAAATCCTGTATTATAATAATAATAATAACCCCTCCCCCCAAAAGCCCCCTATATGTACCTGAGCCCAATCTTGATACAGTGCTGTGCACAAGAGCAGAGGCTCTCCTGGCTATCTCCGTCTTTATTGGCTCAGACACAGCAATGGGAGCCACTGGCTTCTGCTGCTGTCAATCACAGCCAGTGAAGAAGAAGTGGGGGTGGAGCCGAGCCATGCTCTGTGTCTTATGGACACACAGAGCCAGCTCGGAAGTGAGCATGCATGAGTGCCCCCATAGCATGTGGCTTTCTATGGGAGCACTCAGCATGGGGGAGGAGCCAGGAGTGCCGGCCAGGGACCTGAGATGAGGAGGATCGGGGTATGACATGTTTGCTAGTTTAATTTTAAAAATTCTAAAGACTTGAAGAGTCACTAAACCCTCAAGCTCCAAATAACTTTTAAAACCATCATGATATTATAACCATGACCTCTTTATTTGTATCATCATATGTTTAACCCTTTCACTGCCAGGGCCATTTTGTGTGATTTTTTTTTTTGTACACATGTTTAGATGCACATTTTAGGCCTAAGGATTAATTTGCGCTAGTAAATATATATAAATATATGTAAAGAAATCATCAAATCATAAGTCCAGAAAAATATATATATACCAATACCACAGAAAAATATAAAAAACTTTTTAGGTGCAAAAAAAACTTTTGTGCAAAAGGAGTGTCTCAATATAAAAAAAGTGTCTCAATATAAAAAAATTTCACCAAAAAACCTTGATAATATAATGGCAGATCATCCATAAAAATATCTTCAGAAACGGAAGCTCTCCAACACACCGATCCTCATCGATCGAAATAACAGGACGAAAAACTTTGTAGTTAATCGAAAATCCACTTCTCCAATAGAAAAAGGACCACCTTCAAACGTATCCATGGGGGGGAAATGCCAAGCACTCGAGAGAAACAGAAAGACTTCATGGTGCAATATTATAAAAACCAATTCCTTTATTAGATACTCATTGCACTTACTCAAGAGGTGTCCCAGCCGACACCAGCATCAACAGCATCAACAGCAATCACATAAACGAGCCTGACTACTCAGCACATGTGCAATAGCTGGCAGTCAAAAACGTAATGACATCACATCAATCAAGCTCCGCCCTACGCGTTTCGTCATCGACGTCCTCACGGAGCGGATAGATGTGAGACGTCTCACCCTCATTAAATATACACTCACAGGAAACGAACAGCTGACATCAATGGGGAATCAAGCAAAGCAAGCCGCCCCAAGGATGACAGAAGTCCACAAAAAGTATACAATATATCCAATATATTTGCCATCACAAGCAAAAAACTTTAAAACAAGGGAACAAAAATAAAATGAAATTTAAATAAAACAATGATAGTAAATAAATTAAATAAATAAATACATTAACGACGGGCCAATACCCTCTAAGACTGTGTTTCAAAAAGGGAACTTAAAGGGCCAGTAACACATTAAGCACAAATAAAGGGGAACTCTAGTGATAATACAAAAATAATGCAGAAATTGTATAAAAAGCACACAATCTTCCATATATCATCTTTAAACAGTTGCCTATATGAAAATATACTTAAAAAGCATAAAAATTAAAATTTAAAAATTTGTGAGAAAACAGTTCAAATCTATATCGACATTTAACCCGAATGGTTGCAAGGAATTTAGTTCATAAATCCAAAACGTCTCTTTTTTGGAAATCTCATTAACCAAATCCGAGCCCCTCCAATGGGGTTTTACCATCTCAATCCCATAAAAGGTAAGTAAGCTCGGATCACAATTATGTACCAATTTAAAATGTCTGGATACACTATGTTTATCAAATCCTTTTACTATGTTTCTTATATGTTCGCCTATTCTTGTTTTTAAACATCTCCCAGTTCTCCCAATATATCTCAAATGACATGGACATTCTAAAACATAAATCACATGTGTAGAATTGCATGTAATCAGGGATTTAATATCATATTCTTTTTTTGGAAAATGAAGAGCAGAATGACTTTCTTTTTTTATTACTACCGACTTTTACAGTCCTACATACTTTACACTTCCTACAAGGAAAAAAACCATTTAAATTTGGAAACAGATCGAACTTTTTTGGGGGTTCGATGACATTGCGAGCCAATTTCATCCTAAGAGACTTATTTTTCTTATAAATGAATTTAGGAGTTTTAGATAAGAATTTATTTAGTATATCATCTTTTAGCAAAATGGGCCAATATTTTTTAAAAATTCGTTCAATATTTTTATATTGCATATTATAGTTAGTAATAAAGGGTACATTATTTTCAAATCCCACATGAGCCTTTTTATTTCCAAGAAATGTCTCCCTATCTTTAATACCAATCGAATTTCTCTCTTTAATCAAAAAGGTCTTATCATACCCTCTCTAGAAATCTTTCAATTAACACCTCAGATTGATCGA